ATAGGGTGAATGTTATGACAAGAGCACAAAACCAAAAATTGAACAATAATTCACAGGGAAATTCCAATGGTCCTACTGATAACAGGCTTGATCACCCTGGTGTCGTAGAACTTTTGAAACCACCTGAAGAATTTGTACAATTGTATCCTTTATCGAAAGTTGAATTTGAAAGAAAAAAGGTTGCTGAGTGTATTAAAATAGGGAATATTCTTTATGATGAAAAGGCAAATATAATTTATCTGAATCAGGATGAAACTCGATCAACGACTGCATTCCGTGCATCGTTGAGAGACCTGAAGAAAATTTGCGAAATATATGGAATTCCAGAATTGGTAATAATTAAAAATGATAGATGCGCATCGTTATTAAATAATATTTTGAGAGTTCCCAATGAAATGAAAAATACCGGTATAAAAATAAATGTAATAAAAGCTCAGCAACACATTATTGGAAAAGAAATTCAACAATTGATTATGAACGATTACCACATGTTACCAACAGGAGGTCATGCTGGTATTAATCGGATGTATAATAATATTAGGAAACTTTATTTTTGGTCTGGACTTCGAAAAGATATCGAAAATTTCGTTAAACGTTGTGATGACTGTCAGAGACATAAGTACACAAGGCCGCATCAACAACCAATGAAAATTACCACAACTGCAAATTCAGCGTTTCAGAAAGTTTTTCTTGACTTGGTGGGCCCCTTAGAACAAGACAAGGAAAATAATCGATACATTTTGACATTGCAATGTGAGTTAACAAAATTTGTCGAAGGATATCCATTAGAGAATAAAGAGTCAATAACTGTTGCGAAGTCTTTCGTGGAAAATTTTATTTTGCGATATGGAATTCCAGAACAAGTTTTGACAGATAAAGGTACCGAATTTCTAGCGTCTACATTCAAAGAGTCATGCAAACTGTTGAAAATCGAACAGCTAAATTCAACCGCATATCATCATGAAACCATGGGAGCTTTAGAAAACACGCATAAACATCTAGGTGCTTATTTGCGTATACATGCAGCAAAGCATCCAGATACCTGGAGCTCGTGGATTTCATATTGGTGTTTTGCCTATAATAATACAGTTCACACCGAGACTCGTTATACTCCATACGAGTTAGTTTTTGGGAAAACAAGTCGATTACCATCGAACATTGCTAGTCAAAGCGACCCTGTATATAACTTCGACGATTACCCAATTCAGTTGAAATTTCGTTTGCAAACAGCTTGGGATGACGCAAGAAATAATTTAATGGTATCAAAAACGAAACGAAAAACAAAATTAGATACAAAAATGAATTCTGTTAATGTTAAACTAGGTGATAAGGTCTTAGTTAGGAACACGTCTACTCATAAATATGATCCTATATTCAAAGGTCCATTTGTTGTAGTAGAAGATAAAGAACCAAATGTTGTAGTTAGGATAGACAATAGGTTAGTTGAAATTCATAAAAATAGGATTAAATTGTTTATTGAGTGAAAAAAAAAATGTTTACAATTTTTTTTCGTCATCGGGGGAGGTGTACTGGTATAGCAATCGATATTTCGAAACAATAACAATTTTGATATTTTAAACAATTAATTTGGAACACCACGAAACTGCTACGTACAGCTCTTCTCGATGCATATATTGTTTTAATATTAATAATTAGGTAAGGTGTTTATGAATAGATAATTAAACATGGTATTCAGATTTAGGACACAGTGTGAATGAATTCGAGTCTTGACTCTGGTCTTGTTAACATCTAACTGCGAACGAATAGACGAAATCAATCGACTTCGAGATGTTTCATTCCTTATCCTTTTGACTTATAATAAAGGAACCTGAGAGGATAACTGAGTTTATCACAGAACGAAAAATAGAGGAAAAAAATCGTGTAGTCGTAAATTTTTGCAGAGTGGCAGGGGAAAGTGCCATGAACAACATACTAAAAGTCCTGACCCGTAGGGGATGAGCGCGATGGTGGGGGAGCGTTCTAAGGTCATTTTCTCAAGTTATTCTTGAATAATTCGAAAATCGCGACCTCTAGCGGAAAAATATAGGTATACAAAATTGAAGTAAATGAAATTTTCAATAAAAAAGTTTCTATTCACTTGTTGTCCACAATGGATAGTTTCTGAGATACAGGGGATGAAAAAATCGAGAAGTATCAAAAATAGAGTTTAATGGTATGGAATTGGTGTTTAACTTGAATATTAACAGAAAAAATACATTACTCATTGAGAACAGACATAATCGAATAAATACGTTCTAATAATATCAACAATTGATCATCATCTTCATCGTCATTTTCCACATCCAGTAACGGTGCACCGTTCGTACACGTACGCATGGCACATGCCGCACACCATGGAGCATGGAATTCCAGCTTTCCGACAACCACATCGTCCTCCACATCCAGTAGAACATCGGCAGAATATGCTGTTCAGTATCGCTTCAGGTGCTATTGGATCTCTGGTTGTCACTGGAATGAGCGATCCATCCTCTCCTCTGTTCCACCCCCACTCAGTCGGGGGTAGAGGATTGTTGAGCCATTGCTGTACCTGTTGGAATATAACCAATAAATATTATTGTAGAGGCATGATACGGATTGGATTGAGTTATTATACCTGTAAATAAACTCTGAATGAGTGTTGTTGCGCTGCTCCTATGGTTGGTGGCAGTGAGGCGAGATTTGGTTTTGTCTTTGTTGATGCATTCAAGAATGCAGCATACCGAAGTCTATTCAGATCCTGTTGATCTGCAGTCACTTGGTACATTTCTAAAAATATTTTCTCGCCAGCCTGTGTAACCTTGTCTGCTAGTGTCGAGGGGTTGGTGAAATACTGCACCCACAAAGCAGCGGTAGGCCCATTCTCCTTGACATTATTCAGCTGATTCTTGAATTTATGAAAAATTGAAGCTAACCAAGGATCTTCCCCAATCTTTCGTACAGTGATATCTTCGATATTACTCAAAATGCTGAGTACCTTCTTTTCTTGTTCTGAGATGCTGGCTCCTTCCAGAATAATCCAAGCTAAGACAGCTTGAATGAGTAAATGTCCTCGAACGGCTCTGCTGTAAGCATGTCCAGTTAGGATCTTGTCAACTGAATTTGTAGCATAAACAAGGCATAATACTTCTTTCAGTCCCGACCCTGCCATTGTGTGACCAATGCACCCCATGAACGACATGAGTTTATGCTACCAGTCCTTATTTTTATAGTAAAAGCCATCATTTGATGAGAAGCAGTCTATAGGTATACATTTCATGAAACGCAGGACAATAGTGATACAACAAACATGAATTGCATATCAGTAAACTCTATTTTTTATACTTTTCGATTTTTGTTTCCCCTGTATCTCAGAAACTATCCATTGTAGACAACAAGTGAATAGGAACTTTTTTATAGAAAATTTCAAGTAGTCCAATTTTGTATACGTATATTTTTTCGCTAGAGGTCACGATTTTCGAATTATTCAAGAAATGATTGAGAAAATGACCTTCAAACACTCCCCCACCATCGCGCTCATCCCCTACGGGTCAGGACTTTTAGTATGTTGTTAATGACACTTTCCTTTACCACTATACAGAAATTTGCGACTACACGATTTTTTTCCTCTATTCAGCCTTTTTTAGTGTTCGTTGATTGAACTATCACGAATCTTTGTGATATTGCCTCGTTTATCTACATTCAATACTCATTATTTATTTTGTAATGTAAAATTTCAATTAGGTGGCAGTTCCATAGAGAACTTCCAAATGTAATTCTTATCACACATGAATAATGAGCAAGATAAATGCAGCATTTCTATTAGCTACTTCGAGGGTGGATGTAAGGCATTTCATCTTTGGAAGAAGTCCATGGTAACTCAAAGGGGTGGTATAGTTCATGAAAACCCCAAGTCATCTCCACAACATTTATTAGAATGATCAAAGATCAATCTTGAAGGAACATGTTTCGGGCTCATATTAACCCATCATCAGCCGACAGAAAATATCATAGTTCTAGCAAAATCAGTGATGCATCTATATCCTAAGTCAGGAAGGATCAGGAGCTGGTATTTATGGGCCAAAGACAGGAATCCCACTGAGCTTAGGTTAATACGCGACGGTGTTTCAGGCAGAAATTATTACATCATTGTGTGAAAGAATTGATAAGGCAAGAGTTTACAGGCAAAACCATTGCAATCTATTCAGATAGCCAGGCGACCATCAAAGCAGTCAACTCTATGCAAGTTAACTCAAAACTAGTATGGGACTGCATAGAAACCCAAAATGAATTGGGTAGTCAGAACAGACTGATTCTAGCATGAGTACCAGCACATACAGGGTACGAGTGCAATAAAGAGGCAGACTCACTTGCCCGAGCAGGAGCAAACAAAGCTCTGAATGGCTCAGAACCCCAAATTATGGATGCAAACCAAATCTCAAGAATGGTGGAACAACTCGCCAGGAATGAGACAGGCAAAAGAGTTTATTAAAAAACCATCGCCAACATTCACAGAATATCTACTGAGCCAGAAACTAAGTTCAACTAGAACACTAGTGGGATTTCTCATAGGGCATTGTAGGCTCAACAAACAAATGAGTACGATAGGTTTGACTGAAGAATTGCTGTGCAGGTTCTGTCAGGAAAAAGAGGAAACAGCTGTACACATACTTTGCCACTGTGAGGGCTTGTCAAGACTAAGGTTCCTTACGCTGGGTGAGGAAAGACCAGAAGCCGAAAGATACAAGAACTCTAATCGATTTTGAGGGCAGACACAATATTAGATCTGAAAAGGTCGCGGTGTGGAGGCAGATAGCCCAAAGGCCCTATTCTAAATCTAATCTAATATCCTAAGTCAACACTGATTTTTCTAGAACTATGATATTTTCTGTTGGATGATGATGGGCGTATATGAGCCCAAAACATGGTCCTTTAAGATTGATCTCTGATCATTCTAATAAATGTTGTGGAGATGAGGTATTGCTTGCGTGACTCTCATTCTCACAACTCGAATTGATTTCCAGGCGAAGACGACCAAGGCAAACCGCTCGGAGTCGAGTACTACGTCAAGTGCTACGTCAGCGCTGAGGAGGATGCTCCCAAGACGCAAGCGGCCAAGCGCAGCACCGTGCAGCTGGCCATCAAGAAGCTGCAGTTCGCGCCGCCTAGCAGAGGGCCGCACCGCCTACCCAGCTCGCTCGTCTCCAAAGGCTTCACCTTCTCCAGCGGCAAGATCAATCTGGAAGTCACGCTCGACAAGGATATTTATTACCACGGCGAAAAGATCGGGGCTAATCTCATGATTAGCAACAACTCCAGGAAGCCAGTACGCAACATTAAGATATATGTCGTGCAGCATTGCGAGGTAAATAACTGAGGAAAAATACACCAGTCGCTTCCTTCTCCAAACTGTAATCGAATATTTAAAGCAATGGTCATCACATAAACTATTGAATTCATTAGGGCCTAGTATTCGATTGGCTAAAATCATGGGTGTATGAGTTTGAAAGCTTTGTTGTCCCAGGAATGTCACGAGATACTTGCATAGACAGGTGAATGTCGGTAATGATTACTAGGACACAGCAGAAACCTCGAACCGCCTACCCAGCTCGCTCGTCTCCAAAGGCTTTACCTTCTCTAGTGGTAAGATCAATCTTGAGGTAACGCTTGCCGGTGCGCAACATCAAGATCTATATCGTGCAGCATTGCGAGGTAAATACCTATATTTATGTGAAATATTTCACGCGTTCTTGCTGCCGATGAAGCCATCCTTCATAGGATAGGATCAGAACCATCACAGAGGGAAAATAAGCCGATCGCTTCCTTCTCCATGCCGTAATCGAATCGTTGAATAAATGGTAATCACATCGATGATCAAATGCATTTGGACCTAGAATTAGATCAGATAAAATCATGGGTGTATAGGATCCTGAAGCATTGATGCTCTAGCGAGGACATCTGCATAGTCAAAATGTTATTAATAGAAAACAGCAGAGGCTTCGTCCCCAAAAGCTTCACTTTCTCCAGCGTCAATATCAACCTGATATCATGATTAGCAATAACTCCAGGAATCCAATAAGCAACATCGAGATCTATGTCATCTAGCATTACATCCTCACTTTATTCTGGGCATATCCAATGGAGGTATCCTTAAAGATAGGACTAAACAATCATAATAAAGGGAAAAGACGCCAGTCGCTTCCTTGGTTAAAACCGTAATTGATTTCTCAGACTATTGGTGATCAGAAAACATGAGTGTATTGAGACTAGTAAGCATTGTTGCTTCAGCTCGAGGGATTATTTATGCAGATGAAAGCAACAGTTTCCTAACCGCCAGTCCAATTCGCTGGTCTCCAGAGGCTTCACCGTCTCTAGCGACAAGATCAATCTGGAGGTTACGATCGACAAGGACATTCATTACCAAGATCCAAGTCGTGTAACATCCTGCCAGGTGGATACCTATTTGAAGAATATTTTCGATATGACGGTATCCTAGGTTAAAATCGAACAACTATTACATTATACAGTATACATTTCTATTTCCTGAGATTACTTAAGGAATTAGAATCTATCGTATGAGGAACTATACCAGAAACAAGCAAATCAAGAAGCGTAGGAAATGATTCTGAGACAACCCATCTGTCACATTTGTAATTTTTAGCTCTCAATGAGACATTTGAACGCACTACTTTACCAACAAAAATGAAATGAAAGCATATACTTGCATCGTTGTTAATTGATTCCTCCATGATTCAGACATCCTGGGGTATACCAGGTGTCACTTAAAACAAAAAGAATTATGTCGATGCAGGTTCAACGTTTTCCCAAGGTCTCGAAATCTTTCAGTTGAAAACCATATCAATGATGTATGGGTACGGTATTGAATTCACCCTAACGATATGAGTGAAAATCTTTCCATTTGAAACAAAAAGTAAAATCAATTCCATGATTGAAATAAATATCATGGTTACTTTGTGAACCAACATGGTGAAATATATTTTCAGTTTTCAATGAATTGGCAGTTCCAGATCCAAAAATAATATTTTTCGATGTAAACAGAAGTGACAAATGATAAATTCAGAATGATATTTTGATTACAAAAATGAGTCATCCATTCCATTCACCATTTCAAATTCGAAGCTTGGTGTCATTTCCAGATAATGAAACGGAAGTTTATACAGGGTGACAATTTGAAGCAGCCCTCATAATGTCTGACGAAACTATGTAAATTTGGTGAAACACGTCAGATTATATATCGAGGGGGACAACTTTGAGGTATTTGTTGTTATACCCCTTCACCGACAGGGCAACTACCCCTGAAATTTTATATAACGACCCTCACTTATTTTGCTATTTTTGAAATCTTGAAATCCTTATGTGATTCCAGATGAGTTAAACCTTTTTTTTTTCAAAATGGCAGCACTTACCTAACTTCACAAATTTTTCAATTGCAATTTATTATGATAATGAAATCAGTAACAAAATACCTATCAAATTACTTTACGGGTACTTCAATATCCTTTGTCCCACCACGATTACTTAGACCGTCTGAAACAAAAAATTGCCAAATAATTTAATTTCAGGGTCACCCTGCATATTTGGGCAGTCCTATATTTTTTGTTAATATTGAAACAAACATCATTCACATTCTATTAATAATCTTAGTCAAAAAACGTTGGGTCAAATTATATTGAAGTACCTGTAGTTCTTAAATTAACCGTTTTACACCACAAGTGTGATAGTTCATAGATGCCATAATATATAGGTTGTACCATTTAATATTATGAATCAAATGTCAGTTGGCCGAAAACAAGAAGCTCATTGGGTGAAATAACATCAGAAAAAGCTGCACCGCTTGAATTAACCCCAAAATCACAATTTTCTTCTACTCTCTAGTTCCAATATATTTCCTGTCTTAATCGTCGTGGGACACCCTGTATAATCTTTCTTCCATTTTCATTATTGTGGTATGTGAAGACATAAATCTGTGTATTTGTGAAAAAAGAAGTCGAGAATTCGTGATCAAAACCTGGAAGTCTAATTCCGTAGGTCCTCAAATATGGAATGGAGAAATACTTTCAGCTTTTCTGCTGATGATCCGAAACAGGTTATCGTTTTCAATAGTAGAATAAAAATCTTGAATCGCTCTATCACGTAATTCCTCCCAAGAAAACATTTTTTCTCAGGTGACCCTGGTAAACACCCAATTCTCCAAGTACGTGGCGAGCCTAGAGACCCGCGAAGGCTGTCCGATAACGCCCGGCGCCAGCTTCACCAAGGTGGTCTACCTGGTACCGCTGGCTTCCAGCAACAAGGACCGCCGTGGTGTCGCTTTGGACGGACGCCTCAAAGACGACGACGCCAACCTGGCCAGCTCGACGCTGGTGCCGGAAGGCAAGTGCGCCATCGACGCCATCGGCATCGTCATCTCGTACTCGCTGCGGGTGAAGCTCAATTGCGGAACGCTTGGAGGCGAGCTAGTGACAGATGTGCCTTTCAAGCTGCTGCACCCGATTCCGGGCAGCGTCGAGAAGGAGAGAGCGCACGCGCTGAAGAAGATGAAGTCCATGGACAAGGGAAGGTACGAGCAGAGCTTCGCCAACGATGACGAGGACAATATTGTTTTCGAGGATTTCGCGAGGTTCAGACTTAGCAGAGACGAACTGGAATAAGGGCTGGAAAAGTACCGTGCTATAGTATTACGTATTCAGCAGCTAAATTTACAAAGATGTAAGCAGAATATTCCCTAAAATCGTATAAAGCAATATTCTATCGATTTAATCTTGCCTTGGCGACTGAATTTTCCGAAAATAAAATAATCTGAATTAAATTTGATTTGCTTCAAACTTGTATAACTCCCCGTATATATTTTAGAGGTAGAACTTATATTGTGCATGCATAAAAAATAAAGAGGATCAACTGGTTGTTAATAGTCCTTGTTCTCAACACCCTAAAGACCTATCCATAACTAGAGAGACGACCATGATGGCTTCCAGCTACAAGAACCGCAGCGGCGTCGCCTTGGACCTCGCCTTCGACGGACGCTTCAAAGACGACGACGCCAACTTGGCCAGCTCGACGCTGGTGCCGAAAGGGAAGTGCGCTATCGACGCCATCGGCATAGTCATCTCGTACTCGCTGCGGGTGAAGCTCAATTGCGGTACGCTTGGCGGCGAGCTAGTGACGGACGTGCCCTTCAAGCTGCTGCACCCGATTCCGGGCAGCGTCGAGAAGGAGAGGGCGCACGCGCTGAAGAAGATGAAGTCCATGGACAAGGGGCGGTACGAGCAGAGCTTCGCCAACGATGACGAGGACAATATTGTTCTCGAGGATTTCGCGAGGTTCAGACTCAGCAGAGACGAACTGGAATAAGAGCTGGAAAAGTACCGTGCTATAGTATTAAGTATTCAGCAGCTAAATTAACGAAGATGTAAGCAAACCATTTCCTAGAATCATATAAAGCAATATTCTATCGATTTAATCTTGCCCTGGCGACTGAATTTCTCGAAAATAAAAAAATCTGGATGACATTTGATTTGCTTCAAACTTGTATAGCTCTCCGTATATATTTTAGACGTAGAAATTATTTTGTGGATGCATAAAATAAAGAGGAACAACTGGTTGTTAATAGTCCTTGTTCTCAACACCCTGAAAACCTATCCATAACTATAGAGACGACTTTGATGCCCTCCATCAACAAGGACCGCCTTCGACGGACGCTGGAAAAACGACGACGCCAAACTGGCCAGCTCGACGCTAGTGCCGCAAGGTAAGTGCACCATCGGCATCGTTATCGTACTCGATGCGGGTTAAGCTCAATTGCGGTACTCTGGGCGGCGAGATAGACGTGCCCTTCGAGCTGCTGCACCCGAGTCCGGGCAGCGTCGAGAAGGAGAGGGCGCACGCGCTGAAGAAGATGAAGTCCATGGAGACAAGGGGCGGTACGAGCAGATCTTCGCCAACGATGACGACAATATTGTTTTCGAGGATTTCGCGAGGTTCAGACTCAGCAGGAACGAACTGGAATGAGGACTGGACAACATTTCCTTGAAAAAAATGTTTTTTTCTGATCTACCTATCTAGATTTTGTGTGCTGACCCTACATTGCCTCCTCAAAACAGGTATATACGCACCTGTCACCTATATCTATATTTCGAAGGTGGGTATGTAGGGGAGGTAGATCTTTAGGGGCGCCACACATATATTTGCACCCGATCAGAGACGGCAATATCAAAATAATAAGAGATTCTCATGAATTCGTAACTTCAATGGAGAGTACCCAAAAGTGAAACCCAAATCATTTGTCATTTCGAACGAATAATTGCGAACTTGTAGTAGCAGTTGCTATGACATTTTTTTGTTAACTTGTCAGCTCATTACTGGAATGTATCAACTGATGAAGAAGAACTTCCACCTTCAATATGTTGAATGCAGAAAAATTTGAGTCCCTCTCGGAGTCCCTAAAAACATTAATGAATTCGTTCAATATTCTTAATACTTTCCTACATTTATTACACTTATCATCTCTTTTCACAAAAATATCCTTTTAGAGATCTTGGGTCAGATTTAATGATGTTTACCCATATTTATAAGTTCGTTTTGATAGAAAATTAGTCTCTTCAGTGGAATTCAAGTAATTCAATGGAAAACGGTATAGTACCTATTTTAAGAAAATAATGCTGAATAATTCAACAGACTATTATCTCACTCTTCCATTTGTTGACTTTAGGATTCAGTATCTATGATAATTCCGAAACGCCAGATCTGAACAAAGATTACTCGTTGTAAATATATCTTGAATACTCCAAAAATAGCAGAAATGATTATTTACGTACATAGAGGTATTATTTTGTGTTGATTTCGTAATTTCAAATATCCTAATTATTCGTTATCCATAACCAAACAACACAATCATGCTAGCACGACCAGATCGCGTGATTTTTTAATAATGGAAATGAATACGGCATTAGCTGAATATCTATCTAGAAGTCAAAGGTCTCCGTTATGGAATCACATCTCCATTTCGAGCAACATCCTATAAATAGATATTTCTCAAATCCGATAGAAACCCGTATAGGAGTATTTCTTCATTAATTCAATATATTTTCACTTGTAATACCAAATTATTTCCAGACATTTTTTAGAGCTCATGGATATTTTGAAAATTATTCCGAGTAGAAGACGAGGGATAATTTTCGAAATATTCATGAGCGAGAAAAAATTCCTAGAAAGTAATTTGACCTCGTGTAGTATTTATTCGGTAAGATAATTTCACACCAGATTGTGTTTGGAAATTAAATAATTTCAGAATTTATTTGTTCATTTGATTTCGTTATTGATTTACCGATATTATTTAGATGATAACTCTATTTTTGGAGATCGATAGTAATTGCAGTTTATGATTTCACAGTAGGTACATAATATAAACAAGCTAATTTGATAGCCAATTTTTCGAATTATTAGTCATTGAGCTGTTTAGTATATATTATTTGAACTTCAAAATGACTGCGATTAAAATATTTATGATTCGATGATTATCCATAGCCTTCGTTGCTAGAAATTGAAAGGCAAAAAAAAGAAGCGTAATAAAACAAACAATACCAATTATTGAAATATAAAGGCGTAGAACTAACAAGGAAACCATTAAATTCGTATATTTTTTTCGTTCGTGATGAATAGATGCAGGTAGGTATGTGGTTTCAACGTAAGTACCTATATTTTTGCAACTTTGATGAAATAAGGCACATATACATATATTTTTCAAATCATTAGAAAATATGAGCAACATGTCGAGATTTCACATTTGCTGGAATAATTTTGAATTCTTGGTGATACATTCTTATTGTTCAAAAAACATTATAAAAATTTGCATTTTTAATTTTTCGATATACTTTTCAGCAAGTGCCAAAATATAAGAATAACCGAACCTTGTGCCTACCTATACGTTTCTCCTTCATTACAGAAAGTTAATTTAGAATTAACATCAAAAACGTATCAAAATGCGATGAAAATGGCATACTAAATTAGGTAGGTAACTTCCTCAATTGAATGAAAAGTTTAATTTCTATCTTGAGATTTTGAAGACTACCTTTTATCTCGATAATAATGAAACACTTTGCACTTCGATATGTGACTATTCCATACTTTCATGAGGTATAATAGTAGGTATATTCTAAATGAACACGCACAACCTGTTTCGCTAACACAGTAGCTTCGTCAGGTGATAAACTGGTACAATGGTTCATTGAACCATGTACCAGTATATCACCTGACGAAGCTACTGTGTTAGCGAAACATGTTGTGTGTTTAAAAATTCTGTGGAAATCTTATCGTCTGTGGAATTTGTACATTTGCCATGGATTTCCATCAAGTATTTGTGCTGAGAATGTTAATCAATCAAAATTGTATATCAACCTTATCCTTCTGAACCGAGGACAAAAATCACATTCTGTCGTTTATTTTACGAATTATAATAATATGAAAAAAAAAAACATTTAAATAGGTAGAGGTACGTGCAAAAATAGATAAAACTGTCAATTCATCTTCACTTACCTGGGGTTTTCATAATAACGTGGACTAAAAGTACGATAGGTACTTCAAGGCCGATATGAGGATACAACAATTAAACTGCACTAAAATGTAATGAAATTGCTGAAATGGTCCTTAACTGTCAGGGATTTTGAAGATTTATTTCAGATCATCGGTTCACCAATTATCAGCTTTCATCAAGATCAATATTGAATCAATTCCAATCAGATGGACGCTTTCATAAATTGATCATTTCAAGTATGAAAAAATATCTACTAGATCCTAATCTCATAAATTATTTTCTTATTGAATATCATTCGAATCATTGATGAGATCAATATATGTATAAATACTAGTTACTGAATTTAACAAATTACGGTAATTCTATAATATTCATTGAAATGAAGAATGCCCTTGGATGCAAAGCAACAATATCCAAACATACCCATTCATACGTTTGATGCGCATGCGTACCTTTATTGCTTATTCCCACCCTTCGCTATTGAGATTCATGCTATCAATATACCCAACATTCATGAAAACTATGAGCTAGCCGAATTTCAAGATTGAATCGATGAACTTTTCTGATCGTCAAATGAATGAGAAGAATTTCAACTGATATATTGTATTCCTAGAACTTTCGTTCATGCTATCATGCTGGAAGGTGACTACAACAGCATCATTTTGAATGGAACGCCTCTATTTTAGATTAAAACTAGAATCTGCGTTTAATCTAGAACCTATTTTACATCACGGTTCACAATTTAATGAAACTGTTGAACTAGAATTGAATGAATGAAGTGCTAACAATTTGGAAAAACATATTGTGTCGAAAAAGTTAATGTTTTAACAGGTAGTAACACTCGGAGTAACAGGAATACCTATGACGTATTACCAATTTGTCACATTACTGTTTCACATAACTTTAGTTTTTTCATTAGTAGATCTAACTTTTGGTTTGACCTATATTGGTATGCCAATACATTGTTACCAATGACGAGTTCAGTGATGTATAAAACATTTCATATTTTGTATGTCTACTATTTATTCGATCCACTTCGAATCCTACTTCTATTTAGCACCTCATTAGATAGACGGTCAAAATATCGAAAATTGTACATCTCTCAATTATCATTTAAACAATGTGAGTATTGGAAAAAGAAGTACTAAAGGACGATTCAATAATACAGAATCTCACCATTCAATTTCCAGCCAAACCGAAAGTTACATCCTACGTCCCATCATGCATCAAACTACCAGACGATTTGTTGGTCGAAAGTTTTCATTATATATTTCATTTCTCCCTGTAAATACATATTTCATCCAGAATCATGTTCACGTTAATTCAGTGTTTTATTTCAGATGTACTTCAATAATGGAGGTTAGATATAAAATGTGAGTGACAAATTTGAATGATCATTATGTGCATTCATTATACAGGGTGATCTAGATTATTTCATCTGGATAAAGGACCTTATTTTGGGAAGAAAAGTTTCTTCAAACATTGGTCGTGAAATGGTTCGTTCACGAGGTACCGAATACACAGCTACCAAGAAGAAAATAATAAAAGATTTTTTTCTCAAAATGTCTACACACACAGTGGCGGATTTACCGGTACGCTTAGTATGCTCAAGCTTAGGGCCCCGACCCTTGCACGGGCCCCCGAGGGGCCCTGGCATTGCATGACTATTTTCCCATATCATTCATTTGTATAGATGAAATAATGATTGAAATGAATTTCTCTTTTGAGCAATAGGTATTTATTTTATATGCCTAGAAGCAGCGGCAACATTCCAAAAATGTTGAAAACCATAAGCAGGGTCCTGCCGATCTTATAGCGACAGTGGGCCGGTTAAGAGAAAGAAAGTTGCTTGAATCCGACAAAAGTTCAATAACTTCCTCGATATGGCATTTTGCAAACTGAAAAAAAAAACATGTGCCGTTTCGATTTAGATAAAATATCAACAGTAAAAACAAAATGATTTTCTGTTTTTTCATTCCAATTTTTCAGGAACGGCAATTTTTTTCATCTGCAAAACGTATACCGTTGAGGAAATAGTAATAATGTTCCTATGGAATCGGCGGGATCCTATATACTGAAGGAATGATGGACGTGTTTTTCAATGCAAAAATACTACATTGAACTTGTTTTCAACACTGCTATCAGTGACCAATTGCGGAGGAGAGCGTTTATTTTCAAAATTATCAATAATCAAATCAAATTGTGTACCTTATTCCGAAGAGAACATAACAAACTTTGGGAATGCTTTCCATCGGAAGTGATTTGATGAGCAGTTCGATTTATGATGGTGCAATGAAAGTATTCGCAGATTCGTGAATCAGAAAATTGGAAGTGATATCGTATGTTCCTCCTAGTAATTTCGTTACGGTTTAGTTCTTTTATTTTGAACGTATCTGATCCTACTCAGTGTTATAGTTACGTTCATTTTATTTCATGTGGCTCTGATTTTTTTTATTTGTTATTATATCCTAAACCTAAACCATATCAATGAATGCACTTTTTTTTGTTCCTTATATCCTATATATTTTCATCATGCATTTTTCGCTTCTATTTGGTCAGAAAATGTTAGATGGGAAAATTGGTGAGAAGAAATAACAGGAGGAGAAATTATGATGGGTAGGGGCCACAAGGGCCCCAAGAATTATCAAGCTTAGGGCCCCAGAAATCGTAGATCCGCCACTGTACACACAGTTTATGTGGACTTTTCTTCTTAGATCTTCATTAGCAAATCTCCCCGCTACAAAAAAAAGACCATCCTGTATATTACCAGAGACTGCATAAATTATGAAACCCCCCAACAAAGCGAAACAAAAAAAAAACTCACCAGTTCGACGCACCACCCTAGGATGCCGGCCAATCTCACGTTCTCTGGCGTCAAATTTTCCGGCTTTTCTAGCATCTTGTATGCGATGACCGTGGACAGGCCCCTTGAATTGAGGAAAATTCCGATTAATACACACACTGGCACAATTAGGGGAACAGGCAAAATTTACACTAAGTTTGGCATCAATTTTTTCTCGAACCGATCGCTCGATTTAATTTTTTTTTCAATGAATTGTAGCTTTATTCTTCACAGATACATCTGAGAAATAACCATCTTCAAACGACCCGTCTTCATATCATATACAGGGGTGTACAGAAAGTACGGATTTTTCGGTATTTTTTAAGACATCCTGTGGAGTGAACCATTAATAATTGAAACGGTTTCTCAACACCAAATTGTAGCCCAATCTATTCCTTATATTCTCGTTTTTCATTCATTCTGATATCTCAATTATTCAAGAAAATACAGAGTTTTTAAGAAAATGTGGATAGTTATTAATTTTACCACCTCGAAACTCGACCTGGGGATAAGAACGCGTCATTTCTGTGAGAACGTTTACTTCAAGATGAAAATTGTTCACAGTTTTACCTATCGGTTTACTGTTTGAAGACACATGTACGAATACTCTTATGAATATGCAGGGGCTATTTATTTAATTATTGTCAGAGTCAAGCGATTCAAAATTCGAAATTCATAAATTTGATTAATGAAAACATAGGAGATTTGAATCCTACTGATGTGGCGAGGGCTGTAGCATCAATTGAAAATGATGAATCGTAACTCGGATCGTACACTGGTGTTGCTGACATGCTGAAAAAAATCAAAATTTACGATTTATCGGAATGTGAGACGTTTGGAGACAAACAGCAGAATACGTGAGGAGACGAGGCCAAGGAAGAAAACGGTCAGCCACGGCTAGAGATGACCGAATTTTAGTCTCCCAAACACTACGAAACAGACGTACAACCGTACCCCAATTGAGAAACTATCTGGAAGAAGTACGTGGGAGACGAATAAGTCATCGGACTATCAGCAGAGGGCTTAAAGAATTTGATCTGAGGGCCTATAGAACGAAGAAAGCTTCACAACTCCAGCGACGTCATCGAGTGGCAAGACGCAGCTTCGCTAGGCAGCATGTAAATTGGGAAAATGACCAGTGGACGTTCTTTTTACAGATGAAAGCCGCTTCTGCATCAATTCAATAGATGGCAGGGCAAGACAATATCGCCGCCGAGGTGAACAAAATGATCAATTCAATTTTACTGCTACTGTCTCCTATGGCGGAGGTTCAGTCATGGTTTGGGGTGGAATATGTTTAGAGGCACGAACAGATATGGTAGTGGTTCTTGGCGCTTTAAATGCAGATGGCTATATACGAGATGTTCTTCAACAGGATGTCATACCATTCGTCCCCCAAATCGGAGAAAACTTCTTGATAATGCACGATAATTCCCGCCATCACGTGGTCGTTCAAGCTCCAACTTTTTAAATACAGTCGAAATAAGAGCAATGGATGTTCGCCAGACCTTAATCCAATCGAACATTCAAGGGACATGTTGGGTAGACGATTAAGGTCCAGAATTCCCGCTGTACAAAATCCCGAGCAAGTAGCAGCAGCTCTGGTTGAGATTTGGGATAATCTTCCTCAAGAATGATCGATAACGTCATCGAAAGCATGAGCAGACGGATGACTGCTGTAATAAGAGCGCGTGGAGGTCACGCACGTTATTGAAATTATTGTTGGTGTTTTGAATCCTTATTGTTTGTTGAGTTGAGTTGTTATTGAATGAAGGCTTTGAAATCATTACATTCCTTTTAAATCATATCTGTATATTTCTAAGAAATCTTGTCACAATAGACAAATAAGTGAAAAGAGAGCAATATTCAACTTGAAGGGGAAATAATCTGGAAAAAACCTCAAGAAACGACACATTTTCAGATCCAATTCGAGTTTCGAGGTGGTAAAATTAATACCAATATCCATCTTTCCTTTAAAACTCGGTATTTTCTTGAATAATTGACATATCAGGATGAATAAAAAACGAAAATATTCGGAATATATTGGGCTACAATTTGGTGTTGAGAAATCGTCTCAATTATCAGTGGTTCACTCCACAGGATGTCTCAAAAAATACCGAAAAATCCGTACTTTCTTAACACCCCTGTATATGATATGAAGACGGATAGTTTGAAGGTGGTTATTTTTCAGATGTATTCGTGAAGAATAAAGCTATAATTCATTAGAAAAAAAAAATTAAATCGAGCGATCGGTTCGAGAAAAAATTGATGCCAAACTTAGTGTAAATTTTGCCCGTTCCCCTAATTGTGCCTGTGTGTGCATATGGGCGAATTGAGGAAGTTCGCAGAAATATTATACGGGGTGATTCAGGGCGAATGTCACATAACCAAATGGTGGATAGAGAAAATCAATACGAATTCAAATGGAAAGCTTTTTTGGTCATCCAAAACGATGATGAGTACTATGTGAAATTGAAGAATAGGTAACGTTGATGACCGATATTTCAACAATGATGCATTGTTTAAACTATGCGAAACGGCATATTATCATGCAGACAAAAAAACAGGGCTAGACTAGAAAACTGCATTTCAACACAGTTGATATTGTGTTAATGTTTCACGAAAAATATCTGTCAGATTCAGAAAGATCAGGCATAACGCTATAGGAACTGCTGTTCCATTCACATGACACACTTTACTGGTTCAATAAAAAAGTTGCAAATAAAAACTTTTCAACCAATTCTGACAGATTTCTCATGAAATTCAACAAAAACGTATTAGTTTTTTAAATGTATGATAAATTGACATCCATCATACAGGACGTGAAAATAAATTCTGAATTGAGAAAAAAACAAATCACGAATCTGCGATTGAGGTCCATAAAAATAACAAGTTTACAACGTTCAAGTTGGAACCCCTTGATTGGGTGAAAGTATTGAGAACCCAGGTAACACGGAACTCTCCGCGATATCTCAGTAGTTATCTTCAGGATCAAAATGCGAAATCCTCCTGCGAGGTGCCAAAGATCACTAGTATGATAATAATAATTGAATACTAGATACTTCATTTTCTTACTGTTTCAGAGAATTTGTTCAACAGGATATACTATCATCTCCGCGCCATCATGGAAGATTATTTCAAATTTTGCAGTAAATTAATGATAATTATCTGCTCTGACGAAATAGACAAAAATGTTTTAATTCAGGTGGGATCGAGAATCAAATATCTACTTCGAATTCGTGCATGGGTAAATATCGGACGACTTTTTTTTTATTGAATACCCGGTCAACTCCTCAAATATGTTTTCAAGTGAGAAAGTTCATTTGATCAATGTCTTGCTATACAATAATATATAATTGGAGCTCAATACGTTGATCCTAAAAGTTTGGTAACTTCATCTTCGGCGCTGAAACAAATATCGAGTAAATTCAACTTCAACCCCGAACAATATAGCTGATGGCGCTAGTTAGACTTCGCCGACAGGCGACTGCTGATGACCAATGACTTCCCAAAAATTGAACACCATACCATATTAGTGGCGATCATATAGCTGCAGGCAATCAAGAGACCTGGTGGCCGGTCCAAGCAAGCCGAAGACGGCTTGGTTACTGGGCAGGGATCGCCAAGTCCTGCGCCTTCTTATAGGGATACTGACAGGGCACAACAGGTTACGCAGACACCTATCACTCATAGGTGTGGAAGATAGTCCCACTTGCCGTGAATGCGGAGAAGATGAGGAGACATCACTTCACTGCCTCGGAGAGTGTGAGGCGTATGGAAGGATGAGATTCGAAATCTTTCGAAAAGGACAACTAAAAGAGGGATGTGTAGATATATGGAGAGCAGGGGTTGGCAAAAAGGGCCCATGGGGGCCTACTTGCCTGGCTACAGCCTCCCCACAGTACTACTATTACTACTACTACAAGTGGCGATCAAGTGGCGATTGATGTGAATATCGCTCTTAAAGGCCTCGTTATAAGGCGATGTGCACGGATTCTTGAACAATTCATAGTCGCGAGCACTTGAAGAGTTCGCCATTAGTAATTGATGCGAATTTCCCAAATTCCTCTTCACAAAGCTAAGCGTGCGAATATCTCAAACAGCTCGTAGTTGCGAGCACTTAAAGACCTGGCCAGAAGCAATTGATGCGAATCTCCCAATGTCCTCGTCACAAAGCTATATATGCGAATTTCTCAAACAGCTCATAATTGCGAGCACTTTCAGTGCTCGCCAGAGGGCATTGTGATGTGATGAAAATATCAATTCTTTCACGGTTTAGTCAACAGAAAACAACTACTTTCCTGGCTCCACGTCGAACATTGAATTATATGTGTTGAATATCCAATAAGAGAGCATGAAAGATCAAAATCCTCTGAAATTGAGAATTAGAATCACCTCTCAAATCGAATAGAATAAATAATATGATGTATTATGATATAAAAATATAACTTACCGATATGTTCAGTATTGAAATGAAAATTAAAATGTATAGGAGAGGTATACTTGTATGAACTATCTTGATGAGCTTGGAACTTCCAAATTATAATTCTAAGATTTCAGCTCGTTGTAGTTTTAGTTATATATATTATAGAGATGAAAATTGTGTATATCATGAAGAATGTCTGAAAGAATAACAATAATTCAGGTTACTGATGAGGATATGATATCCGAAATGAATTCAAATGACCTTTGTTTTTTTTTTTGTGAGAGATATAATTCCCATATCACTGATACGAATGATTTTTTTGGAAGTTTCAAGCTCATCAAGATCAGAGTTCATACAAGTATACTTCTCCTATACATTTCAATTTTCATTTCAATACTGAACATACCAGTAAGTTATATTTTTTTATCATAATACATAATATTATTCATTCTATTCGATTTGAGAGATGATGCTAATTCTCAATTTCAGAGGATTTTGATCTTTCATGCTCTCTTTTTGGATATTCAACAGATATAATTCAATGTTCGACGTGGCAAATAGCCAGGAAAGTAGAGATTTTCTGTTGAATATTCAGAATCATATTATATGCATATCTTTATATGAAGGAGAATGCAAATTCACTACATCAGAAGATTTTGTTTTCAAATTCTCATCATGTGTGTTCAATAGATGTAATTTAATATTCGTCTTGGCATATAGCCAGGAAAGTAGTTGTTTTCTGTTGAATAAACCGTGAAAGAATTGATATTTTCATCACATGGAGAATGCGAATTCCGAGGCGAATTCTTAATGTATTTCTTTATATATATATATATATATATCCATTTTTTGTGTTCATAAATAGATCTGAGAATGTTCCTTTTTTTGAAACGTATTAGTTGATTTCTTGTACATTTAGGTTGCGTAGAAGTGGAAGATGAGAGTAGTTGAAAGAAATCATACAGAAACGTTAATTTTCAATCCAAAATCAGGATAATAATAAATAAAAGTTCCAATTCAAACAGTAGATGGGTCGTATATGCTGGGAGACCTCTCGATCATTGTGACCTTTTTTTATGTTCTGGTTCCCACGAAAAGGGATATGTTCAGAGAACATCGTGAGAACCAAGGGAAATAAGGTAGGAATTGGTGTTCTTCTAGAATTTCTGAAGGTTATATGCCTCGGGAAATACCTTCCTTGGTAATGTGTTCTAGAGCCTCGCTTTTCGTTGGATGAACGAGTCTTTGGAAAGAGATGTTCTGCAGGTCTCCAAAGTGACCACGAAGGGGTGCGAAGGTTTAACTCGACGGGTTAATCTAGCGGGGACTGCCAAGGGAGGTACAATTGTTGATATTCCAGAAGAGCATCGTCCATGGAAATATCTATAAAATAGAGCCAGATCGCCAACTTTTTTACGGTGTTCCAGAGAAGTGAGTGAGTTTGTGAGCGAGGCATCACCCACGAGACGAATTGCCCTTTTTTGGACAGAATCCAACAGTTTCAGGGTATGTTTGGGTGCTGCACTCCAAATATGGGAACAGTATTCCAGAACAGGTCGGATCTGTACCTTATAAATCATAAGCAGATGACTGGGAGTGAAATAGCTCCTGGCCCGAAACAGAAAACCAAGTTTTTGGGATGCTCTTTTCGCAATTGATCTCACGTGATTTTCCCAAGAAAGGTTATTGCTGATAGTAATACCAAGCATCGAAATGGATGTCTTCAAATGTATGGTTAGTCCTGACATGCTTATGTTTGGCACAGTGAGATCGGCTTTTCTAGAGGAAAGGCATGCTTGTGTTTTGTTTGCATTAAAATCTACCAAGTTATTGGATCCCCATTCGAGAATTGTTGCCAAGTCCATATTTATGTTGTCAACATTTCTCCCTAGAAGATCTTTTGTGATTACCCTTATCTATTTTTGGTCCTCTAACCCTAGACTTCTGATGAATCAATTTTACGATTTGGGGAGTATTTTACCCCACACCCTCAAAAATCCCTCCTTAAGGGACTACTAATAAAAAATTACTACGGGCAAAATCGTTCAAAACTCCACCGTCCTATCAGTTTGCTCCCATCCATGAGCAAAGTGGCAGAACGCGTCATCCAAAGACGACTAACAACAATGTCTGAGGAACTAAACGTGATTCCAAACGAACAATTCGGTTTCAGGCGAAACCATTGCACAGAACTCCAAGTTCTCAGAATAGTAGATTACGCGATTACAGGATTTAATCTCGGAAAAGGACATTATACTGGAGCAGTCTTCCTTGACGTTTCGAAAGCATTCGACAGGGTCTGGCATGACGGACTACTGACCAAAATGACAGACTACGGGTACCCGATATCTATGGTGAAGCTAATAGCCTCCTTTTTGCGGGGAAGGCGATGCCAATGTAAAATTGGCAACGAAATCTCTGCAGAACAGAAAGGGAGCTAGAAGCAGGAGTACCGCAAGGTGCGGTCCTTTCACCACTACTTTTCTCCATTTTTACCGCAGATATCCCTAAACCCGCGAACAACTTCAACAAACTCGCACTATACGCCGACGACACAGCCATAATTGCCAGATCCAGTAACGCAAACATGACAGTACGATACCTACAAGAACAAATCGACACACTAGAAACCTGGTTCAATAACTGGAAGATAGAAATTAACGCAGAGAAAAGCCAAGCTGTTCTCTTCACTAGACGACGTACCAAACCTACAGGACACGTAATACTAAACGACATACAGATACCATGGGCTGACGAGGCAAAATATCTAGGGGTAACCCTAGATAACAAACTCACTTTCAGACAACACATTACAACACGACTAAACCTGGGTTAAGCCGCAAGGCAAAACCTATAGCCTCTAATAGGTCGCAGAAGCAACATAGCTCTAGAGTTGAAGCTGCGCCTAATAAGAACCATTCTACTTCCAATAACTTTGTATGCATCAAGTGCATGGGGCCAATGCGCAGAAACATAAAAAAAGCGAATACAGGCATTTCTAAATGTCTCAATAAGAATGGCAGTAAACGCCCCATGGTATATCTCAAATAGATTTATCTTTATCACTTTCAGACAACACATTACAACACGACTAAACCTGGGTTAAGCCGCAAGGCAAAACCTATAGCCTCTAATAGGTCGCAGAAGCAACATGGCTCTAGAGTTGAAGCTGCGCCTAATAAGAACCATTCTACTTCCAATAATTTTGTATGCATCAAGTGCATGGGGCCAATGCGCAGAAACATACAAAAAGCGAATACAGGCATTTCTAAATGTCTCAATAAGAATGGCAGTAAACGCCCCATGGTATATCTCAAATAGATTTATCTATAGGGACCTGAACATAAACCCAGACTACATAGACAACTACATAAGACAACACGCGGAGACTACATTCGGAAGAACGGAAACCCACGAGAACCCGCTACTGCACGACCTGACCAACAGACAATTAAATCAAGACCCGCGCTTCGGAAGAATAAAGTACAGGCGCCCAATTCATCAAATATAAGATAAAAGAACGGAATTAAATCAATATCAATAAAAGTTGCATAATAGTCATCAGATAATTAAACAAAAGAGTATCTCCTCTGATACCCTATAAAAAGTTAACCAATAATAATAAGACATAAACTCAATTTTGCTTCCCATTAGGGTAGGGAACCACCACGCAAAGTCAGGCTAGGAAACACACATTAGACAAAAAGGTTTAAAAGTCGGAAGACTGAAACCGAGTAAGGGGTTTTATAAAACATATGCAGATTGCCAAATGCATAAGGTTGAAGTCCACTCGTTAGTGAGTGGGGGTGGATGGACATGGGGATGAGGAGCTATCATATAACGTAATTTAGTTATATGGCGGCACTTGATCCTGGGCATTCAACCTTTCGGGGGGCGTGGTGTGTGTGTGTGAATCGTTCAAAAGGGTCTTAACAACAACTGTGCCAAGTGGCTTGCTTCTAACATAAAATGCGGTTTTCTTCTGGACGATAATGTGTACCGCTCGTACTAATAAGTCGGTGATCGTACCTGGTCTTCTTGCCGGTGGGCACGTTGTACTGCAGCACCTTGGCGAACCGCTTCGTCACCTCGGGGATGTCCGTGTGCCGGCCGGCGTCCGTCAGGTCTCGCACGATGTCAGGGAAGATGGCCATGAACTCGCGACTCTCCTCCTTGGAGAACACCGGAGCGCTCGGCACGGGTGGCGCCACCTTCGTCTGGATCGTGGAGAGGGCCCTGGAACGGAACGACGTTCGATTATTCGGATCGATTTTTTTCTTTCCCGTTATAATTGAAGGGAAAATAACCGAGGAGATATTGAAAAGGAATATTCTCAGATATATTTATGAACACAAAAAAAATTTATATACAGTGTGATCATTCAAGTGTGCAACATATGGGAATTTTTTTAATGAATTGCACAACCAAAATACAGATAGTGCACATTTTGTATTTAAAATATTACAAATTGGGAAATTATTTACGAACAGAATTGAAAAACTAAAAAAATGTCTTAGGGGGCCATGTTTTGATATTTAGACATATCTTTCAATGGGGAAGACCACTGAGAGAAGAAATCCGTGCAAACCTCCTTCAATCGACGAATCATGACTTACGTTTGATGTACAATCAATATTATGAGTTAAAGTTGAAGGGAATCGAATCTATATCGTTTTGAAATCAGCATATTTCATTCGATATTTCAAACAGCCAAATATGATGGTGGAGTCGTGACGTATTAGTCCCGAACTGTGGCTATCTCTCTCTGATACCTCGTCATTCTGCAGTATTGCAGTGTGATTGGTCAGTTCAAGGACAAAATGCGTGTTGGGAATAAGACGTCGCACCAGTCACACCAATGAATTGACAAACTTTCAAATGGCGCAGGAATGGTGTGTTTTGAAATGGACATATTATTCTAATTTATTATTTTCATCGTCTTAGCATGAATGACGAAATTCAAAATTAATTCGCTGGTCGTTTTTCAGTATAGAGTTCACGATAATGTCATTTTAAAAAATCAGTGGTCTTCCCGAGGGTCTTCCCCATTGTAAACAACTTTCTTTGATAACATTTTGCTGAATTTTTTGAAATAAGGGTACTTTACTCTTGAGCAATTTTTATATTTTTATGACCTACCCTGTATGCTGTGTGACTTGCAACCATTCTAAGTACACCTAAAATGATTACCAAATATGCACCAACTTTCGGCACTATCTGTATTTTGTTAATGCAATTCATGAAAAAGATTCCCATAATATATTGCACACTTAAATAACTACACTGTATACAGGGTGACTCAATAGTGTGTTCTCCTTCTATATTAGCCAAACTGGGGTTTGTTGGGAACTATATCACCTGAAAAACCTAAAATTATATTCATATATATCTATAGGGTGTTCGAATTCCAAGATATCGGTTGATGATGAATGTTTTCAAATAAGACACCCTGTATATTATTACATTTTTAGATTCGCCCTTAAGTGCTGATTTCATCAATGTATCGCACTTGGGAACTAGCTGAAATGTTTATAGACCCGGTATTTCCATATTTACCTTTTCGTACGTAAAAAGTTACAACCTCTTTCAATTTCGACGAAATAAATAGGAGTATGTGAACATTATGAGTTTACCGTAAGCCGCATAGGCATCAAACAATGACCAGTAGGTACTTTTCGAATTATCTTGAAAACAAATAATTTTATCGAAATTTCACAAAAATACTTAAAAATGATTGAACACTTGAAGAAAAATAGATAGGAAGTCATTAGCGCACGTACAAAAAAAATGGGGGTAAGTGTGTTCTTGACCCTTGACACGTTGTAACTCTTTGTGCTAAAGTAATGTACCAATTTTGAGATCAATATCTTATTAAATACGCGAGTAATTAAAAAAAAATGTTTTTTATTTCCAACTTTGACACCCTGTATATCGAATATGAAGGGCTTAAATGAAAAATGGTATTTAGAAACTCATATTGTTTTTGTTCAAGGAATATATGGTTAATGGATTGTGTTCGGCGAGGGGTAAATCTCTAGAAAACATTTGTAGACCAGAGTTCCAACGACCAAGAAAGATTTCCAGAGAATGCCAGTGACTGAAGCCTTCCAGTGAATATCAATGACTATCATATAGTGATTAACAATGATTCTATTGACTACCAGTGACTACCAAAGACTTCAATTGACTACTAGAGACTTCCATCTCGACTTCCATTGACTACCAACGACTAATTAAGACTCCTATTATTGACCACCAATGAATTCCATCATCGACTTCTAAAAAGTTGCAGTGACTACCAAAGACTTCCAGTCCCTACTCATAACTTTCACTGACCACCAAAGACTTTCAGTGACTACCAACGACTACTTGAGACACCCAGTGACTACCGAAGATTTCCATCATTAACTTCTAAAAAGTTCTAGTGACTACTCATGACTATAAGAGGATAGGTAGAGGAGTTAGGTGTTGGCATTCCAGACTACCAAAGAATCACATCTTGCATACCTCGTTGATACCAGCACTGGGACCAAACGCCCCATACGTCGAAACTTGTGCGGGGTTAGGTATACATACAAACACAAACATCCATGGCCTAACTAGGATTCGAACCTATGTCTCGGTGGGAGTCCCCACACGAACTCAGCGCCTTCACGCTCTCGACCACCGAGCCGCCTATCAAATACTTCCAGCGAATACCAATGTCTATTACCGACTTCAGAAGTTTTCTAATAAAAATGACTTCCATATCGACTTTCAGTTACTTCTAATAACTTCCAGTGACTACCAATAATTATCGATGACTTACAATAACCTCCAGTGAAGTGTTTACGAGACTTCCAAGGACATTAGTCTCTTCCCAAAAATCCAACATCCTTACATAATGCAATTCAATCGGTGAAGGGCTACAAACCGATACACTTGAAGTACTTATAACCAACCTCTTGACCGACGATTCTTTCTGTCCATGCTTTCCTTCCTCAAACTTCAATATTTCAATAACCCTGCTCTTGTTATACGACGCTATACATAGTGGAGTAGGTATACTACGGACTTGCCAAAAATGCTATCTCGGAAACTAAGCGCGATAGAGGTATAGTTACTTTGGAGAAAATGATCCCCATCGAATTTTGAGCAACTTTGGTTTTTGTGTGTGGTCTGTCTTGTCTGTCTGTCTGTACTCTGTGGTAATCATAAATCGATATATCTCCGGAACCCTTTGACATATCGACTTGAAATTTTGCCATCTTATTGTACTCAAAACAATATTATGTCATTAAAATATGAAGGAAATCGAAAAACTCCAAAGTGGTTTTTCCGGGTTTTTTCGATTTTTCACCGAAAGTTTCTTGCGACGACTCTACAAATCGCAAAAGTGGTCCGATCGATTTCATTTTTTGTGAAAAAAAACTCTATCAGGGAGAGGCGAAGCCTATTGAAATTGAGCATGGTCGGGAAATTCCAAGAGGGTTTTTCAAGGAGATTTTCCGAAACACACGGTTCGCTTTAAAACGACATATCTCCTGAACCAATAGACTAAATCCAAATTTGAAAAATGCACCGTATGCCTCTTTGATGACGCAACAAATTATTACTTAACTATTTTTTCGTGCATCCATCGGAAAATGGAAAAACAAATGAAAATCAAAACATCAAAATTTGAAATCCTTTCAATTCAATATAAACTACTCAACACTAATTTCGTCGCACACCAAAATGTCGCCCCTGTTATAATGTGAATAACTTTTTTCAGTTTAGTACAATTCGAATTTGGTTCACACTGTTCGATAGCCCAGTCCTTCAGCTATTATCTGGTACTTCATTGAAACATAAGGGTATTCACATAAAATCTCTACATGGTGTTTTCCAACACTGTGCGAAATTTCGGAATATTCAAAAGGCTCTCAAATGGTGAAAAACATTTTTTTCTCAACTTCGACAACAAAGGCATGAAGATGATCTCATTACCTCGAGATATTTCGCGAATCAACTTCCTATCTCTCTTATTTACAGAGTGATCTCTAAAAATCAACTTTTTGTTTTTGCAGTCATAACTTTTTCCACGTCAACCGATTTTGGAAATCTTAGGCTCATTTTGAAGATAAAACTTCAGATGAAGAGATATGAATATCAGAATTGACTCAAAATGGCTATCAAAGATCTGGAGTTTTCTTGAAAGTGACCCAAATTTAGAACGCCCTTCGAATCTTGGTTGGGAGGAGAATTGAATGAAAATCAACTTGTTCTCGGAAAAACAATTCATTCTGGATGCGTCCATATTTTCTTCGCACTCAGTAGTCAAGAATTTTGCGTGAGAAAACACAATTGAAACATGTTCTTGCAAAAACATTAGATCATTTCTCCTCTGTAATGCATGGCCCGCCGTAACCAACGTTACAAGAATCACAATGAGTGACTGATAAACCCGACCAGCTGAGGCTCATCATAAATGGTGTACCAACAAGAGCAACGGATTCTGATTTTTTCAATAAAGTGATTTTTTAACAGTTGTCACGTACATAACATGCAATTTAAGAATATGGAGAAGAATTCAAGCAAACAACGTTTATTTATTGTAAAAACGCATTTCAAAAATGGTGAAAGTTTCACGAAAACAGTTTGCTAATTACGTATAAAGTTTTCAGTCGCAATAATGCGCCGAACGAATCGACAGTAATAACCAAACAATTCGTGTCGGAGATAAGCCCTTTGAATGGATCGGACTGTCGTGTTTAGCAGATCCGCGATTTGGAGGAAAGATAACCCTTGTTCCCTCATTTGTGGAATCAGTTCCAACTAATCGGGCGTTAGATGCGGCATCGAAACTATCAAAATCTGTTTATGATTCGAAAACGACGTCTAACCTGACTTGTCAGTCACTTACTGTGATTCTTGTAACGTTGGTTACGGGCCATGCATTACAGAGGAGAAATGTTCTGATGTTTTTGCAAGAACATGTTTCAATTGTGTTTTCTCACGCACATTCTTGAGTACTGAGAGCGAGGAAAATATGGACGCATCCAGAATGAATTGTTTTTCCGAGAACAAGTTGATTTTCATTCAATTCTCCTCCCAACCGAGATTCGGAGGGCGTTCCAGATTTGGGTCACTTTCAAGAAAACTCTAGATCTTTGATAGTCATCTTGGGTCAATTCTGATATCCAGATCTCTTCATCTGGAGTTTTATCTTCAAAATGAGCTTAAGATTTCCAAAATCGGTTGACGTGGAAAAAAGT